GCAAAACGGCTACTCGTGTTCTATTCCCGGTGAAAAGTCATGCCAGGCTGGCAAATGTCAGACCAGCAGCGGTCGTCGTCATCGTCGTAGTCGTCTTCGTCGTCGTCGTCGTCGTAGTCGTCATCGTCGGCGCGGTGCAGTTGGTGCCGGCAGACAACGGTAGTTGTACTTGCAGTTCTACTGCTGCTGCTGCTGCCATTACTACCACCTACTACTACCACCACCACCACCACCACCACCACGACTACTACTACTACTACTACTACTACTACTACTACTGCTACTGCTACTGCTACTGCTACTGCTACTGCTACTGCTACTGCTACTACTACTACCACCCCTACCACTACCCTACCACTACGACGACTACGACTACGACTACGACTACGACTACGACTACGACTACGACCACCACTACCACTACCACTACCACTACCACTACCACTACCACTACCACTACCACTACCACTACCACTACCACTACCACTACCACTACCACTACCACTACCACTACCACTACCACTACCACTACCACTACCACTACCCCTACCACTACCACTACCACTACCCCTACCACTACCACTACCACTACCACTACCACTACCACTACCACTACCACTACCACTACCACTACCACTACCACTACCACTACCACTACCACTACCACTACCACTACCACTACCGCCGCCACCCCCACCACCACCACCACCAAGACGACCACGACCACGACCACGACGACGACCATGACCTCGACCACTACGACTACGACTGCTGCTACTCCTGCTACTACTACGTTACTGTCGCAGCAGCAGGAGTAGTGGTTCTGGTAATGGTGGTAGTAGTAGCAGGAGTAGTGGAGTGGTGGAGTGGCGGATTGGTGGAGTGGTGGAGTAGTGGAGTAGTCGAGTAGTGGAATAGTGGAGTAGTGAAGTAGTGGAGTAGTGAAGTAGTGGAGTAGTGGAGGAGTGGAATAGTCGAATAATGGATTAGGAGTAGTGGGGTAGTGGAGTAGTGGTTGTAGGAATACAAGTAGTAGTAGTAGTAGTAGTAGTAGTAGTAGTAGTAGTAGTAGTAGTAGTAGTAGTAGTAGTAGTAGTAGCAGGACTGGCAGTAGGAGAGAATCTATAACACCAGCCAGACGACAGACACGCTCTCACCGATTGCCACGTGCCTGATGCTTTTGCCCTGGCGCGATAGTAGAGGGGCAGCTGGTCAAACGAGTTTGCCCTGGCACCGTCTTTCGTGTAGTGTAGATGACACCATGAAAGCTCAATCACGGACACACATAGGCGTTGGCCTCGACCGTCTTGCTTTGCTCCCCATCACCCTTCGTTCAAAGCAAGGGAGACCATGAATGGCGTCACCCACTGCAGCCGCCTTGCCATCTCCTCTGGCGACGGAGCTTCCCAACAACTTTGGCACAGTCCCGTTGTCCAGTACGGATCCTCATTTTTGGGGACCATGCTTGGCACATGAGGGCTCAGCTGCAGGCAAGCTGCACCAAGCGAGATCTTCTTCTCGCCGCACTTGCTGCAGGTTCTCTCCCCGTCTGCCAGGAGGATTTGCTGATGAGACATCAGAGTTCGAGTTTCCCCAAGCTCAGATAAGTGGCCTGTCAGAGACTTGAAGCAACCCTCGCCTCAGAACGGCTAAGAACCCATGCTCGATCAGGCATCTCAAACCGTCTCAGTTGCACCAAGCCACAGAGGCGTACACCGTGGAAGTCGGTCTGGCGGGGTATGCACAAAGTCACCCCCTAGAGTCTACAAGCGCTGCCACCGTAAAACTTCATCAGCATGGCCTGGCCTGGCGAGTACCTGCGACAACAAGGGGCAGGAGAGTCGTGAGGATCTGAGAAACAGCGAGAAGTCTGAACTTCGCAGCATTGCAGCCAGGGGGCTGATCGCTGCTCTGCACATCCTGCACTCCATACCTTAACACGAACGGACTATCCTGCTTTGACAGTTTCTTGCGATGAAGCCCTTTTATGTACTGACCCACACACACACACACCGGCAGACCATGCCCAGCAAGCATCTGGTCGTATGGTCTGTATGGTGCTGTGGGGTTTGCTGCCGTGGCGCAGGACCTATTGTAGCAGGCATCGCAGAGTCCGGATCCCCAGCGCAGCTGCTTCAGGGGGATCTTCTTCTTACAGCCTCAGTTGCGCTCGCGCTGAGTGTCCGTGAAGAGAGCCGGCTTGCAGTCGCCAGTGCAACTGAGAGTCAAGTACACTTCTTGTCACAGTCCTGGCAAGGCCATCACGTCGGCCGCTTCATACATCGGACTTACCGTCAGCGTGCCTTGTAGCAAAAGTCACACAAGCCAGAAGTATATCTCCTTGGCATGTACTTGCACCTAGAACCGTTTTGATTGCTGGCGGACATTATGTTTACCATCACTACAAGCTTCACCTCTCCTCACTGCAAGGTCGGCGATCACACAATCATTCCAGGCATTTCAAGTCAAACGTTCACAGTTCTGCTAGTCCTAGGACTGGCTGTTACTGCTGAACACAGGTGCACTTGATCCTACAGAGGCTTGCATTCGATCATGCTGCGCGACGTCTGCATGCCAGGTTTTGCCAACGCCGTGAACAAGTTACAAGTACGACAACCCAAACAGAGCCAATCAGCAGCTCATCATCGGGAATGTTCTCGTTGCATCGAACACAGACGGTGTTGTACTTCGCGTAGCAAGCATCGCACAAGCCTCGGTTCGAAGAAGTGGTTCTTGTCGGAAGCTCGGTCAATTGAGGCCACTCGTTTGGAGCCAAGGTTCGGATGTGAGGACGCTTCCTGGAAACAGCAGCACGGCATCCGCCGATGTTGTCGTAGCATTCGTTACAAACTCCTGCCGGGCAGCGCTCTGGCAGAAGAAAACATCCTCCATCTACAATACCCATAATCCTGTGCGCCAACCGATCTCCTCGAGCGAGATCGTCTTACTACCTTGGCTACTGCCAGCACTACTGCTGGTACTACTGCTGCTACTAGTATTATTGTTATTCTTATGAACTTATGATTACTATGATTGTTATTATGACTATTATTCGTATTCATCGCTTCGTGTTTTCTCATGAAGCTCATATTGCTGGTGACCAGTGTCAAAGGAGATGACCGCTCATTGCGTCTTGGTTGCACTTCTTACACTTCACCTTCCAGCAGCCGTAAGGCAGGGAGTAGCAAGGAGGACCGAACATGAATCAAAACAGCTCCGACGTTGCAGAAAGGCATTGCGGCACGTTGCAGCACGAGGCCTCCTGGCCGCTTGAGCATTCCTTGCACATGGCAGTCTTCCAGCCAGACCTTCACTCTTTCTCAAACTGAAACGCTGGCATCGGCTTAAGAAGCAAGACATAAAATGAGAGAAGCCACTCACCCAGGGAGATCGTCCTTGCAGGTGACAGCTGCAAAACATGGAACATTAGTATTGCAAGTAGGTTTTCTCATGAGGCTAAAGTGCAGCAAAGCCTCGAGCCGCACATCAAACAGGCCTTCTTGCAAGAAGCCCAGCAGTCATCACCTGCCCATGTTCGACTAGAACCCGGCGTGCAAGTGACCTCGTCTTGATTCGGAAACCCTGCAGTCCAAGTCGCACAAGCCAGTTTTGAATTTCATCTCCGTCCTCTCACAAAGTTGAGACCGGCGAGCATGCAGATACTTCCTCCCGAAATACAGCCTCATCAAACAGCCAAGTGGCATCTTCAATCTCCTGGCACAGCCCTTGCATTGCCTAGGAAACTAGGGGCCGCTCGCTGTTTCACTTGCAAGTCTGAGTCATTCCAATCCGAGCTGATGAGTAAACACATTGACATTGCTGCTCAACACCAGTGAACCAAGACCCTAGCTGCCCGATATAGCATATACAGTGTGATGCTTGATGCCATAAGGATGCTGTCCCGAGCTTCCAATATACAGTGCTGCAGAGTTGCGGCAACCTGGTGTAACATCTGTCACAAAGGCCAGATCCGCCATACTTCTGGGTGCGCAGCTTGGCTCTACCTGATACGAAGCCCGAGATTTCCGGCATTTTCCTTTACCGTTGCCTCCTGCCTGTCTCAGCAAAGTGAGAGTGTCGCTCACCATATCTCTAGCAGGACTCTAGCACAGAGCAGCCAGGCCCTGCACGACCAGAGTTTACGATAGCGGCTACGATCCCGAGAGGCTGTCCAAGAACTGTGCAGCCGGGAACACTCACATCTGCTGCCCAATTCAACTACAAGTAGTCATAGTTAACTTACTTGTCTAGATTTGTCTGGTAATTGCTCTTAGATCTGTGTTACTACGCATTGTTACTTCACCTTGCTGTTCTTGCATTGTTCTCATTGTCCACCAATGTCAGCCAGGCTTCAACACGCGCATTGCTGCGGCATAGACTTAGAGCCTGATCGGGCCACATTTTCACAAGCCCTCACAGCCCCTTCGTGTCCTTCCTATAGTCTGGGAGCCAGGCATTCCTCGCAGAGGCCTGTGCTCAGGATGGATGCGAACTGCCTCGCACACTGCCAGGCACTCCGGCACTCTCCCACAGCGACTGGACGACCAAATGTTGAGCCGGGCATCGGTGACTCGCATTTCTTGCATTTTTGGTGCACCTTGACCCTGCGCGCAATGCACTGACGCACCCAGCACTGCTGACTCAGCATGCCTGTATACAGCTTGAAAATGCTCAGGTCCGTGCGCGGAGCTTGGGTCAATGAGGGAAACGGCTCGCTGACAACGAAAAGATGTCTGGCTTTCCTCGCTGTTGTAGAGCAGGGGCTGCTTCATAATGAAGCACAGCGGCACGCATTGGCCCCGAAATATTAGATGCTAAAGCATGCCTTGCTCAAGCTGCGGGCAAAACCACGCTTCAAAGTGCTGATGCTGGATGCCTGCTTGGTCTGGATGGTGGTGCAGACATGTGCAGACTGTTCAATGCGAGCTCTGCACTTCTTGTTGGTGTTCTGAATCCAGAACTGGTGATTATTCACTCCTGCTCAGCACGGTTTGGTGGAACTACTGCTTCAATCGGATCATGTGTGACTGCGCTTTCTGATGTACTGAATCCACGACGCGGACGTCTGTTTGGCGAGAGCAAAGTGGTGGCATCCGATGATCAACCACATGAGGAGAATGCTGAAACGAGACCAGCCTGCGTTCGCAGCACCAAGGCACCTGTGTTTCGCGGATTCGTCCGCAGGATTTGCTGTGTCGTGTTCCTGGCATAACAATCGACAAGCCCTGAAAGCTTGTCAGAGCACTATGAATACTATGACATGTACGCACACTGACATGACTGACCACATGCCGGCGGCGCAGAACTCGAGGATATTGCTTTAGCTCCTGGGTGCAGAAAAAGCAAAGACAAGACCGACGGACGAGAGCAGGCCGTGCACATCGACTGGCAGCTGCAGGTTTGGGACTGAGCGATCGTGCGCTGACGACACAAATGCTCGTCACCAGGCCATCGTCGACAGATCGTCGACTGCAGGAACTGCATGCGTTCGTGCCCTCGCAACAGAAGCCTCAAACACGCATCCGGATATGCCAATACCCTGAACTCTGAACTCTGAACTCGTCGGGCACCCTTTTTAAATTCTTGTCCTGCAGCCCGCCGCGCACAAAGCCAAGAGAAGAGGTTTATACCCAAGGGTGCAGCAAGACGAGCAGTGCATCCGAGAGTCTAGATAGCACTGCGCCATCTTCAGGGTCAACGGTGGAAAATCAAAAAGAACCTCAAGGACATGGCCAAAGCACGTTCGGGCGTTTGGGCGTCCATTGCTCTCCGAGGAGGCGTCCGAGGACTCCAGGTTGGCATAGATGTTCAGAGCCTGGCGGCCGGTGATGGCCGGCGGTGGCTTCATGCCTACATGGACGTGGACCGACAGCTGCCTTCGCAGGCTCGCCGTTTGAGAGAGCCTTTCAATGCGAGCATAAAAAAGGTCGACACACCTCTGCTCCGTTGAGCCCTGGAGCCCTGGAGCCCTGCCTGGTCCGCCTCCGCGAGCGTCGACTGGGTGCTGCCTGGCTCCGAAGCGACGCTGCAAAGCGGTGGCAAGCGCTGAGGCTCGCTTCTCGCCTATTTGCTTGAAGGCGTTGGCCAAGACCGGGTCGTCCCCCGCCTCTGTCCAAAACTCAGCACACCGTGTCACGCAATGTCACGCCCTTCGTGGGCAAGAAGGCCCGTGATTACAGACAGATCTCCCGGAGACAAAAGAGCTAAGAATCAGCTGCCCCAAGTATGCGCTTGCCACGTTCGCGAGCGCATCATGCTCCCCTCAGAGGCTCGTGCAGTGCCCAACGTGGCTCGGGCAGCCTCGAAGTCTCCGGTCGCGACCTGCAGAACCGGCCCGGCAGGGAATTCGTCGTGCTGTGCCACTGTGCGATTGTCCACTCCTCAACGAGTCTGGGCCTGCGCCGAGGCAAGACGGGCACGCACCTTCGCATTGGAGGGGTCGAGGGCCTCAGGCGACCGCAGGACCGTAGGCCCAAGGCACACGACAGTGCAACAAGCTCTTTTTGTCTCAAAATGAGACTTCGACCAGACATTCTTTGCAAGCGTCCACACAGTCGCTGGTTCGCTTGAGCATGAGGCACCTGTCCGAAGAACAGTAAACTCCGGCATCACGTTCACTCAGACTGATACGAGTAGCAAAAGCACGAATACGCTCCGACGGCAGCACGCTGCGGCAACGTTGCCCAGCAACTGCGCACGTAGTCCAGCGTCTTGGCCAACTAAGTCCTGGAGTTGATGTGCCGATCACGTGATTAAAGCAACGATGCGTGCATCGGATGATTCGTGCAGTGGACAGGACAAACAAGACTCACAAACGACCTTCACACGTCGAATCCGCAATATGTCAGAATCTCTGCTTTGGCTGTGATACCCACAGCAACCCGCAAGGCATGTTTCACAGCCCGCCCTGTCCAGCGCCCTGCGGTACTCCGTCAGCGCACCGCGGTAGTTTCCCTCCTTGTACCTTTCCCCATGAAATCGGAAACACAGCAAAGTACTGTCCTTCGGAAGGTGGGAAGGGAGCACTGTGCCGTGCCAGCCTCCTTTGCTCGTAGGGCCTGGTTCTTGCACCATGCTGCATCATAGAATCAGAACCAAACTTAACCAGACAAGGCAGTATGGCTGAAGCTTAGCTGAGCAGTCCAACCTCCGCAGTTGGTGCAGGAGGGGCTGCAGCCTGGCCCAGTCGGAAGTTCTTCCAGCTTTCCCATGAAGAGTTTTCGCATGGCCTGCTGTGCTTCCTTAGGGGCTGCAGGCGCTGCAGGTGCCGACTCGGTTTGCCTCGGCAGAGCTTTCCTTGACCATCAAGAGCAAAACGAGGACCGAGTCTCCAACGCATTTCCGAGGAGGCGCTCGACCTCGCATTCGCTTCTGCCCGCCCAAAAACCCGCTCCAGGTGCAAGGCACGGCGGCACGGCCTCTGCACGAACCCCCAGCTGGTCCGCAAGGCCGAGGGTGGCCTACCCCGTCACAAGGCGCAAGATGCAAGCCCCAAAGCTGCTGCGCCCAGGCCTGGCATTCGGCCTGCAGCTGAAGCCGGAGCTCCGCCCGGGCCTTTTGGAAAAGAGCCTCGACACGAAGAGCTGCAAGGACTCATCTTCTGGCCCCGCCCTGCCTTCTTCATGGCAGCTGCAGACAGATCAGTCACTCGCGCAAGCGCCTGCTCTTCAAGCATCGGCTACACAACCGCGATCAGGCTGCACCGACGAAAGCCTTCGCGGCATCAATCCGAGTGCCTTCCTCGGTGACAGGTGCTTTGCACGGCCATCTCAATGATAGGATGCGCAATGCGCGAAAAGCCAGGAATGCGGCCCAGTCTTGCAAAGATGCCAGGCAAACCGCTCGATTCCTAAGCCCACCCACGACATGGAACACGATTGTGGTGGTGAGGTTAATCCATGCATGGAGGGATGCACTTGCGAAGACGTAGTGGCAAGCAAGCGCTTGCTGTTCGTGATCTCCAGTCTGTCGCCGATTGGGCACTGGATGAGTTGGGAGCTGCGGACACCTGCTGCAGCCAGGCATCGAGTAGTAGACGCCAGGGACATCAGCACCAGCAGCCTCTCAGAAAGGATCTGCCGATGAGGCGAGTATGCACTCAAGAGCTTCAAAATTGGAAACTTCCGAGGACGTTGTGCCAGAACTGCACTCATTCCATGGTTTCATCCAAGCTGCTGCTATCTTTGTGTCGATACCTGCTCTGGGCAGCTGTGCCACTGCATGCGAAGTCTGTCATCGAGTCAACGGTTGCATGGCAATGTTCCCGTTCCGGCTGGACCTGTGCAATTTCTCAGCCCTGTCTCTTTCCGAGCTGGCAGAATGATCCTCGACTGCTGACTTCGATAAGCGACTAACTCTTCCGAACTTCCCGTGCTGGCGGGAAGATTCCTAATGGAAGTGAAGCACCAAGCATCAGCTCCGTACAGGCTAAAGCCGATTGTTGTGCGACTTGTGCTCAGGAACAGGCGTTACACTAAACACGAGTTAGCCCCGAACACCAGAGAACGGCATAGTCTTGTCGGCCGAAGCGCGCTCGTTCGCCTGGCCTGAAAACCAGCTCTAGGCCGAAACTTCCGGCGATGCACCCCAGGGCCCGGTCTGCAGTCGCACTTCGAGTCTTCATGCGGGGCCTCAGCTATGGCGATGGCCTCAGCGTACAAGCGTGCTGCCACCTCGAACTGCTTTGCCTTGCAGGCGCACCCAGGACATGAAATCACTCGGCGTGCATGGTCAGATCGGCCTGGAAAGCTGTGTTTCCCTCGGCCTTCTTGACATCAGCCTGGCATCTCGCGGCAAAGCTCAAGCAATCACAAGGGCCCCCCCCGCGGAGCTCTCCGGAGCAGGCCTCCGGCGGAAGCGGATTGGGTGTCTCAGAATCGGCTTCGGCTTCGCCTGCGCTGCATGGAGCGACCGAACGGGCAGACACTGGATTTCGGACCTTCGGCAGTGGAAGAGTCCTGCATTTTGCAGTCACCTGACCGGAGAGCACGTTTTCTGGCAGCCGCTGACCCTTTCGGCGAGCCGCCCCCGTCCTTCTGGAGGCTCACATTCTTTGGAGCAAAGGTCCGCTCCGTGCGGGGGACAGCTTGACACTTCCACAGGAGAAACCATTGCAGGAGACGAGACAATCTCAATGAGTCCTGCTTGCAAATGGTGGGTTCATTTTGGGGGGGGCTTCGGGAAAAACGGGTCTCGTGTCTGGGGCTATCCACAAGTGCACATGAACTTGGTAGGCTGATTCATCATGAAAGCTTCTTTGCAATTCAAGTGAAATTGAATTCAATACGGCCACGGAAGCAAGTGCTGAAGGCAAGCTTAATATGAACTTGCTAACCACACAGCAGCTTGCTAAGTTGACATCATGGGCAAATCTCGATTACACTGTCAAGTGTGCATCCCCAACTCCCTTCCTTGATGCTTCCATGTCCTTGCGCTTCGTAATGACTCTCTGCAAGTAGCTCGGGGAAGCATGTTCCTGCAACCCGTAGAACCACCCTATCCTGGTCTGGAAGCAGCTGAACGGTCCACCGAAACTGCACATGAGAAGGGTTTGACATCATGCCCGCTTCTCGCAAGGTGCACCTGTGGGGTGAAGGTCTACGGCTGAGTTCAACACTTGCATCCTACACAGCAGGCATAGGTTTTGGGTTAGTTAGTTGGGATTTAGGGAGATTCACGAATGTCCTCCATAAGGGAGACCGTTGTATGTAAGCTGGCTACAAGCTGGGGGTACTGGACATGATGGGGCACTGCCGAATGTAAACCCGGGGGAAGTCTTGAGGTCCACAGCAGAGGGGAACACAGGTGCAGGAGTGCAGGATGGCACTTTGCCGCAGGCGGGCGGCATGCAGTCCCCCTGCAGCACACCACGGAAGTAATTCTTCCGGCCTAACACACACTGCCCGCCACAACTTCATACTTAAGTATATAGCCAAGTATTTGGGGCGGATTTGCAACATGTATCACAAGCGAGAGCTTGCGGACCTGCGACTACCAACTGCGAGCCTGGGTTTAGAAGCCCTTTTGCATTGAGAGCTTCCGAGAAAGCATGCAGGGGTAGAAAGGGTGTGCAGACACCTACACACCCGGTGACTCCAGGGACCGGCGTGTCCACAGCTCTTTTTTGTCACCCCTGCGGCTGCTTGGGTATAGCAGTCTGGCGAGGCAGACCTCAATCCATGGCCTTGGAGCAGGCACAAACGAAACCTGAGGGCTCGAGAAGATGATACATGGATTCCCCACTTGCCAAGCCATGCACCAGCGAGAACGCATCCAGCTGGGGGTCGTGATCAGGCCTGCTGCGCCACAAGATTCACGAAGCTGGACTGCAGAAGCACACGACAAAGGGGCCTGTACGCCGAGATAACTTGCGATGCGATGAAGTCTTGCATCCTCGAAAGTCCAAGTTCATAAGAAGTCACGTTCGGACACTGCTTCTGAAGATGTCATAGACTTGGGCAACGGGTGGGGTTGTAACAGGAACCAGCGCGCGACGTATCGGGAACCACGTTTCATGAACCGACGAGGATTCAACACGAACCAGGGGGGCGTATAAGCTGGAACTGGGCTGGGGCTAGTAACTGTAACCAGTGGGACTTGTAAAGAAAAAACAGCCGGACAACGAAACCGAAATCCGGTTTCGGGTTTGAGACTTCAAATCACAGCTTTTGCTCGTAAAGAGCCCTGGGAACTCTTCTGTAAAACAAGCCCTTCAGACTCCTTATAAAGTCGTTAGACGCCTTTCATAAACTCTGATAAGCCCTCTTCCTAAACTCCTCCTTTCAAAACTCTTCGATTCTAACTTTATCATGCAAGCTCTACTGTTGTACACTCCCCGACACCCCGCCCCCCGGCCAACACCTCAAACCCTATCCCCTAAACGCTAGCCCATCAAGAGCCCTAAACCCTTATTCCTTATGGTTGCTGTAGCAAGACTATGGTTAACTGATATTCTAAACCCTAAACCCTAAGCCCTCAAGTGCGAGCTAGCCGCGCGGTAGCTGATACAGGCCTCCCCCAGTTCCTGTTGCAGCGGGCCTGGTTTCTGAAACCGTTTCGAGCCAGTTCCTGAAACGACCCTTCCTGCTACAACCTGGTTCAGGTTGTAGCGTTTACTCCCTGGGCAATCCAGACGCGAAGCAGAAGGGCGTCAGGCTTTGACGAAAAAGAAGGAAAAGAAAGACTCGCTAACCGCGCAGGCATCGGGGAATGCTTGTGCAAACCATCTTTCTTCGGACACAGCATCTTTGGCAACTTCAACTCGCCTTGCAAAACCTGAGTAAATTCAAGATTTCGCCGTGTTTGAGCTGAGTCGGAAAGGCCTGCGTGGATGCGTCTGCGTGTGCGAGTGCTCTCCTGTTATCCGCCTCGGCCGTGCCTGCGTCTGTGCATTCGGGTGACGCTCTCCTGTGCTTGACGAAACTTCACTTTGAAGTCAAGACGGCACTGCCGCTTAGATGCCCATGCTTCTTCTCGTCACATGGCCAGCTAACTCGGACACAACACCCTCCAAACGGCGCCACGGCGGCAACAGGGGGACGACCGAGGAAACGGCAGTCTCAACCCACTCTCTATCGCAGCTAATCTCCTGGCAACACGACCTTCCTAGACGCAGTTAGGGACCATCATGGCTGCTGCTCTGAGCACGGGACATGTAGGGCCGCCTCCTCGCCTGCACAAATTGACTCGGGCAAAGGCACAGGGACAACCCTGTCCTTCGAGGCAGCAGCATTGGACTCGCGGGAAAGGGTCAACTCGAACCTGGCCGGGAACCCGTCACAGCGGTGGCATCCCATGGCTTGCAGACTTAGGCCGCCACCAATGTGGAGGCCCATTCTTCGGCGGACAAATGAGCTCCATGTTCGGCCGTTGCCCCCACATGGCCTCATGTGAAGCTTCTTGAAGCTATGCATGGTGCATGAGAGCTAAGAAACCAAGGCTCTAGGGCTCTAGCTGCTGCAGCGGCTTTCAAGACCTGGCACGAAGTCGCCACCCGCATCTCAACCACTTCGAAGGTCCTCCTGGTCCGGCCTCCGTTCCACCCATATCGTAGGCAGCGTCCCAGAGGACATGAGGAGTAGGCCCGGCCTGAGTGTCTCGCGTGAAATCATGCAATCGACACTTGTGTGAAACATAAACCTATCATGCACAATTGAGGCATCGACAGACTTGTCTTCCAGATGGACATGCACCTCAACCAGCTAGCCGGAAAGCACCAATGCATGAGTGCTCTAGCTGCCGGACAGTATTCGCCTGCTTCTGCCACCTACGGTTCTCAACTTCGAGCGCAAGGTCCTCTAGGTGGCAGGCAAAGCCCTCGGGATGATCCAGCTCCAACCTGCCACAGGTGTGGCAAGAGAGCAGGCATCCACAGAAACGCCACAAGCGAAGTTCAGAAGCAGCTACAAGGCTCAAAATTCCCAAGCAAACAATCCCCCTCAACCCTCCGAAGCGAATTGTCAAACGATCGCATCAAAGCTGAGGCGCTGTGGATGGGGGTAGCCCTTGAGCGTTGGAGCCGGTGCTGGCCCGCCGGGACCAGGACCCCATACCTTGCGAGGAAGACCAATGCTGTGCACCTATACATCCACGAGTACGGCGCGTACGTGTCTATATGTATGTGTGCATATGTGTACGTATGTACGCATGTACGTACGTACATGTATGTATATGTATGTACATGTATGTACATATATGTATAGTTGTGATTTACATCTAAACTTACATACCTATATCTAGATCCAGAATATTTCCGGTATTCTTGATTTACATTATATCAACAGTTGTATGTGTGGCTGTTATTGACTTGAAGTTATATCTTGGTTTGAACTTATACTGGGTGTTTACGCTACCTACATTCATGTCTACATTACTGCTTCTGGTTATTCGGATTTTTATGCTCCCAATATTAGTTACTACATTGACTGTTATTGGAAATTACCAAGAGGAGAAGTACTCGTGGCCACTGTTCCTGGCACTGGTATTGGCTTTGGTAACCATGTGGGTATTAGTCGTAATACCAAAAGTAGAATTTCTTAACCGCACTGGCCACTGACACCAGTCCCCCTCCTCTTCCTCCTAAGTCCGAACATCACTGATGCTAGTGTTAGTACTGGTCTTTCAACAACTTCTACAGCGCTCGCGATCCACTCAGAAGTTTCATTTGTCCCAGGTCACGGCGTCCTAAACCCTAAAACTCCCAGCCGTGTCATCCTTCATAGTAAAAGGTGAATACTCGGGTTAACCGAGTAGCGTTGGAGTTCTACACAAGGTACTTGCAGCCAGGGCCTAATTCAACCAGCTAGTTCTTATCAGTAGACAAGCAAGCTAGTGTTCCTGCTTTGGCAATAGCAGTGGGACCCCACAAGTAATTTGCTCAGCGGTTATTACTAGCGATAAGTAGAACATATACCCCTTTAAAAATTGGGTTTGTATGCAGAACGCCAAGTATGTAAGCAAATCAAACACCCAAAGGACCTTAAGGAAAGTAGGCAAAAGCCGTCTACATAAGCTAGGCCTTCATTTGCGCCCTTTATCTGGGAATGAACAGACAAAGAAGGAAAAATGGTCTTCGCTAGAATCGCTCTTTAAATATTCCCCCTCTTGGAACTAGCAGAAACCTACAGATTCGAACACGGGCAGATTAACACAATAGCAGATGTGCCGACTCGCAGTATTGCAAGGTAGATCTGGGCGCCTGTGGGTTATGGAATCTGCGAATCGCGAGTTCTGCATTTCTGCGAATCTGCGATCGTGCATTCTGCGAATCCGCGGTTCTGCGAATCTGCAATTCTGTTTTGCCGACAAAACAAAATCAACAAGATTTGCCGTTGGTTCAATCTTGAAGGTGCTCTGAGATCCCGCCCCGAATCACCACTCTCCCATCCACCTTGAGAAATACCACCAGGAAAGAAGAAATCAAAGAACACCAGCCAAGAATAATCTCAGTACTGAAAGCGGCTGCAAACTTGTGCTGCAAAAGCTTGGCTTGGGGGGTGTGGGTGGGTTACCACATAAGGTATGTATGTATATACGCATGCAGGCATGTATGCCTGTATGTATGTATGTATGTATGTAAGCACGTATGCATAAGGCTCAGCAGCGACTGCGACTCAACAAACTGAGTCGGTAGCCCCTTCGGGGCTTGGTGCGGTGTGGTGCTTGGTTGGGTGTTTGTGTGGGGTGGTTTTTGTTGCTTGGGGGTCTCTTTGGACTTCAGGGGTGTCCTGCCCGCCATGGTATCGGCTACACCTGCGAAAGTCCGTCGACTTACACTGAGTGGCGAATTTTATTCCACCCTGCCGAGCAACAAGATCCACGGCCTGCACTTGTGCAACACGGCAGGCGTCAGACTTAGACCGGGACGTGCTTTTGGACATCTGTGTGCGCTCTTTTGCCTAGCATGTGTCAATCACCAGGGCAACGGGCCAATGCCAAGCACATCAGGTCAGCCCTGGCAGCTTGCTCAGCCGTACTCTATTGCTGATTGCGACCGGCCCAGGCTCACCATTCCATCCGTTGCTCGGAGCTCGTTTCTCTGGCATGCGACCCAGGGGGCTTATACAGCAGCGGTTGATCATACGGAATCCTCCAATGTAAAGGTTACTCCTACAGACGGTGGCACCATGCCCATAGCCTGCCCGTTGCAAGTGCCGACAGTGGTACCTCGACCCGTCATGCTCAATACGCTGGATTGGCACGATGAAGCTTTCCTGCCTCAGCCGCGGCCTCACGACCGGTTGCCAGCTCTGATGCGACAGCCTCACATTGGCCCCCCTCCAGGTTGCCACGCATCATATACTTGAAGACCATGGATTAGAGTGAGTCTGCGCTCTCTGGGGATAAAAGGTCATACGACTACGATGACTGCTGCTACCTTGCATGTGCAAATGGGGACCCATTGCATTGACAGTCTCAAGGGTCTCGGGTTGCTTGGGATACCTCCTGGACTCCCAGTGTCTCTGAAAGGCCTGAGCCCTGGTATTTCTTCCCTTGGCCATCCGTTGTCGCTACTGGAATTTGCTATCCGGCCTAGGTTCGAGGACTCCTCGCCTTTGGCCGCCGCCTTGGCCACCCCTCTGTGGCCTCATTGCTCTCACTGCTTGATGCCACCAAGGTTTGAGGCTCCCTCGCCTGGTGTGCTGGGCTCAGCTCCTGGTAATGCCAAGCCTTGGATCATGATACCTGCATCTCCGTTGCACCGCCCAAGGTTTGAGGTCTCCTCGTCGGGCGTTCCTCCCTTAGCACAAGGTCGATCTACTTCGCATGCTAATGATGCTAGATGGCTCCCCATGCATCCAGGTCCTTCTGACTCTGATTCCGCATTACCTGCTTGGACTCCCGTCCTCAGCTCAGCCTTTGCACTGCCACTTTGGACTAGTTCGACCTGCCATGTGTTTCGCTCCCTTGAGCCTGCTCTGCCGCATTCCATTGAGACACCTCTAGCACATTGGGCTCTGCGTAGGGACCTTTGCGGCCGACCCCACTCCCTTGAACCGAGTGCTGGGCAATGGCGAAGAGACGAGTGGCCGAAGCTGGAAGCAGTCGAGGACGTGGCAAGGCTAAAGCGAAGGCTAAAGCAGCCCCCGCAGTGGAGGAATCATCTAGCGAGACCTCGTCTCCACCTTCCCCAGACTCTGAGCCCGAGCCAGCCAGCGGCTCCGGTGGACCAGCCGCGCCCTCCCTTCCCGCTGGACCTCCACCACCCACTCCCGTCAATATGCCTACAAGGCTGGGTGGAACTTCGGCTTCCCACTTGCGACCTGCTGGTCCCCCGCCACCTGATCCAGCTACTTCGACAGGATCCATCCCTGCTTCCTTCACGACGGATCCAGGACGAGCCTTACGGGCCTCGGCGGAGATGGGAGTCTCAGTTGCGGATGCCGTGGCCAGGCCTTCCTCTACTGTGCCACGGGTCTCCACTGCTACAACTCGCAGCATGTCACCCCAGCAGAACGCCCCCGTTATGGTGCCGATACCCCCGCCAGGGATCCAGTACATTGTGCGTGTCAGTGCCCTGGTGGAGAAGCCACGACCACCACCGCCGTGATCTAGCTGATCTCTCTTGGCAAGCGTTCTTGCAGTACATAGTGGCTGTGGAGGCTAGGGCCTTTCTCTCTTCCCGGGATACAGGGAGGTCGTTTTGCAGGGACCTCTACCTGCCGTCACCAACCCGACTTCATCCCGCTGCCTATGAAAAGAGCACTGGTCTATCCTGCAGGGACATTGCACTGTTGAGTACATGTCATCTGTGCTCTGAGTTTGCATCTTGTGCTGCTCTCAGGTCTTCCATTGGCTTACCACGTGCACAGCCCTTAACAGGGCGGACGATGTGCACCCACTGGGCTCACGCCTCGCTTGCCTTCAATAGGTGCTGCAACCTCTTCCACCTGTGGCCAGTGTATCACGTCGGGGCCTCACAGCCCGTCTCATTGCAGCCAGAGCTTCTATCTCCGGCTGGAGCTACCTTATGTGCTGCCTGGCACTGTGCCTCATGCCAGCTCCATATTGACGCTAGGGCCCAAGCTCGACTGGAGGTGTTCCAGAAGCTATCCTGGATTGCTGTGAGCGGTAACTTTCTCTCTCTACGCGTGCCATGGCCAACTCGGATCCTTCCTCCTCGGAACTCGATGATAGGGCTCCGCTCACGGACCTTGTGGAAGCCCCGACCACAGCACCGGCCGGCCCTCCGACACCGGCACCCGTGGACGCCGGTGGTATCCATGTGCCACGCACACCTGAGACTGCGGTCATCGGTTCTACACCACCTGGTCCTGTACGGCGTGCCAGACACAGCCGGAGTGGCGACCGGCGTTCGCGCAGCCGCAGCCCTCTGCGCCCTCACTCCATGTTCTGGGAGGTTCCTCCTGCAACGTCAAGGCCTGTTCGAGGGCAAGTTCTTACTAGCTCCGAGGGCAGACAAGAGGTTACCCTGGAGATACCCATTGATGTCTCGATGCTGGAAACGGCGACTCCCAGCACGGTTCTGGCCATCACCATTCGGCTGCATCCGTATGACGGATCCTCCACATGGTAGCTGTAAACTTCTAGTCCCTTCTTCTTCCTGCAGGAGCAACAGCCGACTATACCGCATCCCTTTTGGTGGGCCGAGACTTCCTTTTCTCTACCCCATGCATTGGGTGCAAAAAGTGCCGCCAGTTATTGAGTGTCATGCTTGTGATGCACTCCTTGCTCCGTGTATGGCAACCTGCCACGTCCTGTCTCCTGTTGTGCTCTATCAGCCAGCCTCCGAGGTGGGCACGCCGTATCGAACGGGTCTTTGGAAGCCGGCACCTTGGTCTCTCACTGCCCTTAGCCAGCGCGGTTCCCCAATATATCAGCAGTCTGTGACATGGCGAGCACGGACATCTCTAGTCGTGTGGGCCTCAAAGCACCGTGCTTGCCGAAGTCAGCCCCAGTAGCTTCTGGTGCAACCTGTATTTGCGGATCATGGCCGAACAGCCGAGTGCGACCATGGCAGGGACCAACCGAGAGTCACGTGCCGATACTACAGCTCTCCCCGTGTTCATTGATCCTGACAAGAACACAGGGGCTGCAACTCGACAGGAGGATGTCGGCTCCGACTCCCCTACTGAGGGAGACCTCCTCTATGCGGCCCAAGTCGCGGAGCAGGCTTATCGACGCTGGCAAGATCAGCTCCGTTCTGATGCAGCGAGCCAGGTGTCAGCCCAAGGTACATTGCCACCTCCACGAACGAGTCGTAGCCGAAGCCCGATGCGCCCCGTATCGTCAACTGCCTCTAATCAGCAATCGCAGTGATCTCGCGAGCCTACAGCTAGAATGCGAGGTCTCATCTCCCTGCGGTGATAGGCCCATACACTTAGAACGGACTATGCACCCCTCCGTGCTGGTGAAAAGCAGGCCTGCCTCCGCGAGCACAGCCGATGCTCACGGATTATGGTCACCTCCCTTTGGCCCTGATCCCTCAGGTCCACTCCAAGAGCGGGGCCAGCACTGGCTATTACGGTGGCCTCACCTGCCACTATCGGTCGGATTCTCAAGATGCCGTCTGCTTCGTATGCCGCATACATGTTGCAGCTTGACCATACTCACTGAGCCACACTACCTTGTTGATGTTGGCTCAATGCTCCCGCGCTCCAGGTCTTCCTTTTCCGGCTCTCAATGGGGCCTATGGCAGGATCTTGCCCTGCCTGGTCATAGCCTTCCCACTTGCGCCCCACTGGTGCAGCGAGGTCCCAACTCCATGGACAGACAAGAGAGGAGGAGACGGCGACAAAGCAAGAGGCCCTGTCAACTGAATCGCCTCTACACGGATATCGAACTCGAGCCCGAAGTCGTGACGATCTCCCCGGACAGGGAGGCTCCCGCTGATAGAACAACTGCGCGACTCTCTGGCAGGGCCACCGAAGGAGTCAGCCCTGCCACCACTGAGACATCTGTCGCAGTGGAAAGCTCACGCCATCCGAGCAGTGTATACGGGTTGCCAACTCAACCAGCTGGTGGAGAGTATTGGGTAGAGCCCTTTGGGCCGCCGAGTGCCGAGGCACAACTCACACCCAATGAGGTTCAGCGACTCAAATTTATCCGGTGGAAAACGCGACACCCTCCTCCCACGACGGTGTATCTGCGCCCATACTTACGGGAGTCTGCTGGCCCCTCCTCCTCTCATGAGACTTCATTCGCCGGACTTGGATGTGCAGCCATTATGACAAAAGCAACCGGACAGCCTTTGGATGCCAATCCATGCCCCGCGTCTATGAAGCCCAGCAACGCGCATGAAGAGACCACGACCCGACCTCGTCGCAGAGCCAAGCATGCCAGCAGGCCGGCCAAGAAGCAGCATCAAGGAGTTGAGCTCTGCACAGATGGAGAGAGTGAATCCTCCCCATCCACTCTCTCTTCCTTTTCAGATGAACTCGGAGAGTTCGCAAGCGAAATGACGGTTGGCAGCTTAGTTCTTCGGTCAGTGAGACCACTGCCGCCGCCAACGACACTTGCTGCCTCGTCTATGGCAACGGGGATGGCACCGGTTGATGCCACCTTTACTGCTTCGACCCCAGCCACCGAGGCCTCCGGGGCATCTGGCTCCAAGACCGAGGACCCACTTGGTCGCACGCCTCTACCTCGACGACGGCCGGCACAAGTGGCTAACGAGGAGATTGCGGAGGGCATCACCCCGGCTGGGATTCCCTACCAACTGCCGAAACCAGTGCCTAAGAAGAGACCGGCCCCGGCAGGCCTGTCCTCCCATGGGCCTTCTGCACCACCATCGCCTCCACAGACTTCAGTCTCCAAGGAGCCCTCTACACTGAACTCCGACTGTGCCGACCCACAGGAAGTCATCACCACCACGGCTCCAGAGACTCAGCCTCCTGTCCAGGACACCGTGGTCACCACGGTACCGCTGCCTACAACTTCTACTTCGGATGAAAGGAAGCAGACTCACCCGCCGGAGAAGGTGAAGCGGACCAAGAAGACCACCACGAGTAAAGGCGATGCAACCACCCGTGGACCGACACAGCCACCGAAGAAGAAGCGGGGACCTAAATCCAAAATCGGTCCCAAGCCGCGCCCTGCACAGACAGCCGACGTGTACGACCCTGACTACAAGCCTGACCCGGCAAGTCGCCCAAAGCGACGAAGCAAGTGGCTGAACATCGGCCTAGATGAGACTCCTGTTGAGACCCCGAAGCGAGGCACAGCCACAGGGGATTCGATTTCGGCCAGTGCTGGGTCCATGCAGACCCAGACGTCGGCCTCATCTGTGCCTGACACAACCGACAGTGCTGTTGCGATGGAGGATTATATGGCGAGCCCCTGCACATACTTTTGTATATCCTCCCTTGCCCGCATGTGCTTCGGACGTCAATTGCGCGTTTCGAGAATTAAATCTCCCACTCGAACACAAAGGTCAGCTCGCCGGCCACGCTCTCCTCAATATGCTGGCAAGCTTAGTTTGAGTCAGTGCTTCTTCCAACACCTTTGCCTCTTTTTGGAGTTGTGGTATTCTGCTCGGCTTCTTGGCAACCGATTATCTCAGGTTGGCTCGTACTTCGTGTCCCGTGGCCTCGGTGCGATTGCTGCCGCACCCTTAGCATGTCTGCACTCAGGGTGTAGACCACGATCAAATGTCTTGTTGTGTCTCTCCCTCCTTTATGGACCCATCGCACCAACGATATACACTACTTCAGTCGCTGAGCCCGGTCCCAAATCCGGGCATGGAGGTGCTAACGATTCTATCTTGAAAGTCACCGATATATGCCGACACCTTGTCCATCATGGGACTCTCAGGGATGAATTTTGTGACTCCTCCACTGAGCCGAGGGTTGAGTGCTGGAACCCACCGCACTCTGAACCTTCACTGTTGCTGTTCAAGCTGATCTCGTGTCACACTAACTGTCCAGATAACAGTGGAGGGAAGCTCGGGATAACCCAATCCGGTGCCGCTTCACGAAGCCGCCACTTTAGCTGCACTACCTCTGCTCTTCCTCAGTGTCCCAGGCAGCCTGTACCTGCACAGGCCTCGGTCGTAGCCACGACCCCTGCCTTAAGGACCTCTTTTTGCTCCAGCGAGGAGCCTTCCCGAACACCTGCTTGTCATCACCGTGCATCGGCATGCCTGTCAAGTCGAACTAGACCAAGCCAACAACTACCATTCCTTACTCGCATCCTTGGGCGGCTGGCTCTGGCATGCCACCTATGGACCACCCCTGCACATTCTGTTGCCGCTGCAAGCTCTCCCACACCCCGATCTTCCTTACCCACCCCGCAGGGGAAGCGAGCTTATAATCGGGCAGTTCAACGAGCAACAGCCAGCCCACTGCAGGGCACGTTTTATAAGGGTCGATGGCACTCCTTGCATACGCTTCGCGCGCAGGCTCTACACCGCAGTCCTGCCCCAATGTCAGTATGCCCCCCCACTCAATCCGAGGCTCCTTCCTTTGTGGACCCTTGTCGCCTCCGGTGTGTCACGTATAACATTGGGGGACTCAGTCAGGATGCGTATGCGGAACTGATGCACTTTCTTGCGGAACAACACCCCACTGTCCGACCTCACGTGATTTTCTTGCAAGAAACGCATTGGAAAACACCTTCCGATTACTCTACTGACCAGTGGCACATCGTATCCACACCGGCCGAACCTGCGGCATCCGGTGGTGTTGCCATATTGATCTCTGTCGATCTCTGCGATGCAAATTCCATCCTCACGGCCTCACCCATCTCAGGTCGGCTACTCCACGCCCGCGTCCAGCTAGGCTCTGCATGCCAGCTTGATCTGATCAACCTTTATCAGAAAGTTTGGGCCACAAGCTTGACCAGAGGCAAAGATCCGCAGACCAACGACTCGCGTCAACTTCGACGTACTGTTTGGCGATCCTGGCGCCAGCTCCTTGGAAGCCTCCCACGGCGGAGCCTTTGGATTGTAGCTGGGGATTTTAATACCAACCTACAACCCAATGCACGACTGGTTGGTGCTAGAGCTGCTCCCTTCATGAAGAGACCACAGCCAGACTCTAAAGAAATGATGGATGTCGTGCAAGACCTCAGGCTGTTACACCTCAATTCGTGGACCAGGCGAGCTAGGGCGACGTATCGGTCGCCTCAGGGAAACACCCTCATTGATCATGTATTTTTGCGGCAAGACCAGAGTGACACTGAAGCTCGACAGGCTGGTCCCGTGGACTGGCCCCTCGCGCGTTGGCGAGGTGGCGGCAGGCATTGGCGAGTTCTCTTCAGCGTCCCGGTCCCTACAAGACATTACACTACCAGGCGAACTCAGCCCCAGTCCTCTATCGATAAAGCGGAGCTCCTCAGGGTCTGTCGCTCAGATGTGGACCCAAGGGCACAGGCCTTTCGACAGGATGTACGGAACTGGCTTGCTGCTAATCCCTGTCGCACCATCTCTGAAGTCAATCAGTACCTGCATGATGTGTCCACTCGACTCTTCCCCTCTACAAAGCCAACCGCCAAGACAGGTGCCTGGCAGCACCCCACCGTCTCTTTATCTGTTCGACAAATGTGGGCCGCCTACAAGGATTGGAAGCACCCCCCACCAGGCCGGCAACGACTCTTTTCTGCCTGGCGAGCCTATAGTCAGTTCAAGCGAGCACACCGCGAATTCAGGCGAGCCACGCGGGCTGCCAAGACGGCACAGATGCAGGCACTTACACAGAGTATGCAAGAGGCCACAGACAAAGGAGACGTTAGGGCACTCTTCCGTCTTGCCGCCAGTCTCTCTCCGCAGAAACGGCGCCCGCGCCTTCAACTGCGAGGGCCCCAGGGCGAGCTTTGGACGCCCCAGCAACAACTGGATTGCTTGAGACAACACTATGAGGCCCTGTATGCCTCTCCGGACACCACTGACACCACGATCTCCTCTACTGGTCCGCCTCTACCTACGACATCTCCCACCATTTCCTTCCCCGACTTTACTGTCACCGATGTTCTTGAAGGCTTGCTGAAGCTACCGCCGCATAAGGCTGCGCCTCCAGGCAAGGCGACAAGCAGTTCTTGGGTCTTATGTGCTCGAGAGCTCGCACCATGGCTACATCACAAAATTTCACATCTTGACCAGGTGCCATCCGACTGGCGCGATGCTTGGATGAGCTTGCTACCGAAAGTGACACATCCCATGAAACCCAAGGACCTGCGCCCACTCGGCATCACTGAAATTTCTGGACGTGTTGCTGCCGGCCTGGTCCAAAAAGAGCTGCGACCTTACTTGGTCGAACTCCTGGCAGCGGAACCGCAGTTCGCATATGCACCAGGAAGATCCACAGACGCTGCTTTGTCACGCGTCTTTGCACATTGTGAGAAGGTCATTGAAATGTGCACCCCTGCACCCTACAACATTCTTGACTCTCGCTTCGCGCCTGCAGCCAAGCCCTTGGCATCAGGAGGAGGCCTACAACTGAGCTTGGACCTATCGAACGCTTTTGATGTGTTACCTGGGCCTTGATTGATAGGGCATTACGGCTAGCCAAAGTCCCGACATCAGTCCGCGAGTTGGTGATCTGTTGGCACAAAGGTCTCACCTACCACCTGACGATACAGGGGATGAAGGCGAGAATCCCAGCAGGGCGCGGATTACGGCAGGGCTGCAGAATCTCTCCATTAGTGTGGAGCATGGCCACAATTGTGCTGCTGCATGACTTGGGTGACCGCATAGGAGATCACCATTGGGTCCGAGCTATGATCACCGCTTTCGCGGATGATATCCATGGTGGCGAGTTGATTACAACCACTGCACAACTTGACAAACTCCTTATCAATTTGGGACACCTGCTTGATGTGCTGATAGATGCTGAACTCAACATCAATACCCTGAAGTCAGCCTTCTTGTTGCGGTTCACCAAAGGTTTTGCTGCAACGTGGAAAAGACGTCATGTTCGGCAGACAAAGGAGGGCCTACTCCTGACTCTACGGACACCAGCAGGACGTCAATTCCACATTCCAGTGAAAGATGAGCACAAATACTTAGGCCTAATCATCTCCTATCAACAGCCAGCGGCAAGCTCCATCACACATCGTATACAAGCCGCCTGGACTGCATATGGACACCTTCGGCCACTTCTCACGTGTGCAAATGCCCCCAGATTGAGCCTCCGGCTCAAGCTCTGGGCAGCCTGTATACCTGCTGTTTTAACCTATGGCCTACATGTGTTGAATTTGACGGAAAGGCAAATCAATCAACTACAGGCTGTCGCTACCAGACAGCTCCGTGCAGTCGCCAAAGCCCCCTCACATCTCACACATGAAACCACTGAGGCGCTCTACGAACGTCTCAAGGTTAAACCTATGCGCGACGTTCTGCAGCAGTCTCAAGCAAGGCTACTTGCCAACTTGCAGCAGCTACAATGTGGAGGAGCGATACAGCAAGACACCGTGAACTGGTTGCAACAGCACCATTTACTTGCTGATTCTACCACATACCCCGGATCCATTTCTGCACCTCCCATTGCACACACCTTCACGTGTCCCGATTGTTCAGCGGTCTTTGACAACTATCGACTATTCAGGATGCATCAGTCCACAGCTCATGGCCTCAAAGCCCCAACACGAAGGCATCAGGTTAGCTTCGATCGCTTGCAACATTCCACAGCGGGTCTTCCCATATGCCGGCTATGCCAAAAACGCTTTTCCAGGTGGACTGGTCTCCGTGCTCACATTGAACAAGGATGGTGCCCGAAGCTTGATCCGCATATCAATCCTGCTAAGTCCCACACAGCCTCTGCCTCTGCTCCAACCACGAGGTCGGAGCCTTGCGAATCTCCTGTCCCTACAGGTCCGGCTAATGCCTTGCCCACTGCTCCGAGTGTCACAAGTGCACTCACCACCACGGTGCAGACTGTTGCACCGCCTGACGTCTCACCAGACATCGCACAGCCCGCACCCCAGGCTTGCCTTTTTGGTGCATCGGTCCCAACCTCAGGCTTAACCCATCCACCTCAGCAGCGAGATGACACAGTCACTGAGCTCGGACTGCATAAGCCTGGTTCGGGAACCCAGGCTGAGGCTCACAACCCACAATGGCAAAAGCGAGTTGGTCCGGCTGCCGTGGTCCCAATGGTGCAACGTGTCGAACTCATGCAGCGGATTCGCACCCGGGGATGGCAGGTCGTTACGCAGGATCCTGAGCTACGTGATGAGGTTCGTCACCACTGCCCTGAGTGCTCACAGTGGTGCTCTTCTCCTGCCGGTCTCCAAGTCCATTTGATGCACGAGCATCCACAATGGCTTGCCTCGCAAGATTTCATTCTCAAGAGGGCGAGACTGCTAAGAAGTACCCTTACGAAGCCCTGTCACTTTTGCTTGGCCACACGTTTCGATCTTCAACAACACTGGAAGCGATGTCCGGTCATAACTATTGCCTGTTATCTTGAACATAGGAGTCATGACCCTGCCAGCCACGGGCAACATGGCGGCGACACCCCCGCCACAGCCGGAGGCTTCGATCAATGCCAAAAATCAGGAGTTGGAGATGTTTGGCCACCTTTTCAACAGCTTCAGCAACACGGCAACGAGCGGCCAGGCTGCGCAGAAACGCCCACGACCCGAACAGAGGGATGCTGTCATGACTCCAGTGCCCGACGAAGCCTCCCTTCCTCGATCGACAGCCACACCGACATCAATCCCCAAGGGCAAAGGCAAGGTCAAGGGGCAGGGCAAGCATGCAGGCAAGAGCAAGGGCAAGGGCAAAGGCAAGAGCAAGGGTCCACAGTCCTCCACCGAGGTGACAAATCGCACGGATCCTTGGACTCTGGATACATGGACCGATCCGGACTCGTGGAGCATGAGCGGATGGTCCGTGCCGAGCCTGACCACAGCGGAGTCTTCCAGCACCCTGTTGATGCAGGTTGCCCGAATGACATTACGGCACGAGCAGCAACTTCATATCCTCCAACAAGACACTCGACTCTTCCTGTATCTCAAACCGAACCAGGAGTACTCCGTGCTACCGATGATGCTGCAGCTCGCGACGGAATGGAGACAGACGATGGAAACCACTCCGACAAAGCTCACGATGTCACTACGGGAGATTATGATACGGGGTCTGCTCAGGGAGTGGAAAACCCGCCTTCAGGCCTTCCAGAAGAGCGAGGAGACCAAGATCACAGGACAACGCCTGCAGTGGTTGGACAGCCTGGGGCATTGGAACTACATGCATTGGTGCCCGATCAAGCAGGAACTAGTTCTGACGGAGCGCCAGGAATCCAGGTCCACCGAAGAGATCTTGACCATGATCCAGGAGATGGAGGAGCTGATCACGGGAGACTCTATCAAGAACTTCAAGTCCATGAGACAACTTCGCGAGTCATATCAAACGGACTGGGTGCAGTTCCTGGTGGAAGTTCAGCTACGCGGACCAGGCGACAAATTGTGGACTATTTTCAACGATCTCATCGGCAGTGCAGCGCTCCACCTTCTTGCCGCCCGACTCCGGCGGAACCGCTATCCGTACTCGGGCCTAGCCCAGAGCATCCAGGCCCAGGTCTGGTGAGGTCTGCTCCTCAATGCTTCCTCCTTGGATTTCCTTTGCATTCCATCAGCCTTGCAAATCCAAGTGCTGCCACATGCTATATGAATAGTGCCTTGCATGCCATTCTTTATGTGTTAGCAGTCCTTCGACCGCGCGATCAGGCTGCTCTTGGACAATTGTGTCACCTCTGGGGTGCTATCCAGCGCCAACCTCAGAACTTTGATCCAAGTCACAACCTATCATGGGTGATGATGATGAGTCCATGGCCACGGTTATTTGTGCAAAATGATGCTGCCGAATTCCTTGCTCATATGCTGTGCAGACTGCGGCTACCCTCCGTCGAGGGGAGGTGGGAAGCCCGCCGAATGGATGCAGGCCACGGTCTGCAGCTGCACGATGAGGGAAGCCTGCATCATGCACTCCCCCTGCCAATTCAGGGGCATACCAGCTTGGCCGATTGTGTTCGGGCCTGGCATCAGCAGTCCAAGACTCATGCACTTGCTCCTTATCAAGCTGTCAATACTCTTGGAATACAGCTTCTCAGGTTTCGAACTCGTGCAATGCACACCCAGCGCCGACGACCTGTTGGCAAGGACCTTAGACCCATCACTGGCCTCCTTGATGACATCCAGATCCCACAATTCTGCAATACACACAATCTTGATGCCCATCCTCGTCGCTTTAAGGCTGCAGCTCTGATTTTGCATCGGGGAGCGACCGTTGATCAGGGGCACTACATATGTGTCTGGAAAAGCGCCGATACTCTGCTGCTTCTTGACGACTCACGCACAGCTCGAGCCTGCACAGCATCCGAGATTGCCGCTATCCCTGCAGAAACTTATTTGATTTGGTATGTTGCATGCCAGGATGGAGATGAGACTACGAGTAGAGTTTAGTGCACTAGCCATTGACACTTCTGTCATGGCTCATTGCCCATAAGAGGCATCGTATCGCAAAACGCGATATGCTCTGACACGCTCGGCGAAGACCTCCCTTCGTTGCGTCCGCAAGAAGAAGCACGTATGCATGTGCGTGTGTATGTATGCATGTATGTGTATATGCGCATGTGTGTATTTATGTGTATGCTTCTGCGCATGTGTGCGTGTATGTGTATATGTATGCGTGTACATGTATGTATTGTATTTGCATATGCATATGTATGCGTATACATATGTATATATATATATATATATACCTATATACATGTATATATGTACATATGTACACATATATATATATATATATATGTATGTATGTACGTATGTGTATGTATGTATGTACGTATGGGATGAGAGGCGAGTCGGACGCACGAGTCAAGAACAGGCGGGGGCAAGCCAGGAACGAGAACGAGCAGGAGTCAGGAATGGCACGAGGTGGAGTCGGCCAGAACGAACCCTAAACATTAAACCCCCTAAACTAAACCCCGTAAACCTCCTAAACCCTAAACCCTAAACCCGACTCGCACGGGGGGCCATTCCCGACTAATCTCCTGGACCTGCTTGACTGGGCGTCTGCCCGTTCGGGTCTCACTGGGGGCTTCTGTACGTATGTAGATGTGCGTGTGTCTGTATAGTTGCATTGGCCTTTGCTTGTTTGCGTATATCTGCACACCTCTGTATATATGTGTATATCGCGAGTATAAATAGGTATACATATGTATATGTGCTTATTATGCAGGTATGTGCATGTATGTTATACACATATATGTAGTTTATATGTATGTATAGATAGATAGATAGACAGATAGATATACGAAGATATAGATATAGAACTCTAATTATCTTTTTATGCATGTGTATATACGTACGCATATACATATACACATACCATATGTATATGTATCTGTATATGTATCTGTATATGTATCTGTATATGTATATGTCTATGTGTATGTGTAGGTGTAGGTGTATGTATATGTATATGTACATGCATATGTATATGTATATGTATATGTATATGTACATACATAGCCCAAGTATGTATATGTGTGGGTGCTGTACTGTTGGATGTCAGGCTTGTCTCTGTGGGCTACGTAAGTTGCGCAGATCCTACAGTGGCACTTTGAAGTTTTGAGACTGCATCCAAGGTGCATTTTGCTGACAGGTGAAGCGCGAACTGTCCTCGGCCACAAGCCCCTGAAGTTGCTCTTGCTGCACAACCTCCGGCAACAACAAAGACTACGCCGAAGCCCAGCAGCTGTCAGATCACTGAAGGTCAGAGTCTGCGACCTGGCCCGGGAGAATTACTGCGCTGCTTTTCTCCGCTGATGCGGAAGTCAAGCACGCCTGTGGTCTTCCAGCAGCTGCAGTTCTCCTCCATAACCTCTTTCTGGCAATGGCTGCACCTTGGAGCTGTGGAAGCTTGAATGCGAGCGAGCTTGCATTCCCACAAGAGTCACGACGATACTTCAACATGTCTTGCTTGCCAATGCTCTTAACTTGGAATTTGCAACTAACTGCAAGCTTCAAAGAGCTCCAGCAAGCTGTGGCAAGCATCCCCGTCTTCAGCGCTTTGCAAAGTTGACCCAAACGAGCCCATAGATGCTCACACAAGGCCACCAGCTGAGGCCCCGTCGCCAGGTCTTGCATTGTTGGTCCAGCCACCGGGCCTGGCGCTCGGCAGAGAGACTCAAGCTGATTGGACTCAGACTACCTCCGAACAAGTGGACTCAGTCAGCTACGGAGGCTCGCGCGACTGCTTAAACCTGAGCTGCGGCGCAACAAGGACGCGAGCGCAGCTTTCGGAACGAGAATTCCTTGGAAAGGCCCGAAACAAGGATGCCTCATGACTCATGCTGCTCAGAGATGTCAGTCAAAGACCCTCAGCAAATCTCAGCAAGCTTTTCGATAACTCGATCATGCTCTTGGCAAGGGGCTCGTCACTTGATGGGTCCAAGCCAAGGCTCCCCAACATGGCCTGCGAACAAACTGCTCAAGCATGCTCTTTGCATTTGGTCGCCCGTCCGCTCTTGCCTAACTTTGCTGGCCACTTGGCTCGTTTCATCACAGTGCTCATGGAACCCCGGCGTGGCGCACCCTTCCCCCTCTGCCCAGCTTGCGGCGCGGAAACCACCTCCTCGTCACCTTTGTTGGGAACCTGGCCAGCCTCTTCCTTGCATCTCGGCCTAGAATTGGCTTCGGCTGCCTGTCATTCCCGAATCCTCGCTCTTCCTCTCCCAGGGCCCACTATATGTTTCTAATCCCCTTCTTTTCGCGAGTTCCTTCGTGTAGCTTGAGTTCCAGTCCACGGTTATCGACATGCGCTTGTCATTGTGGCGCTCTTCCTCTTCGGAGCTGCTGCGGTAAGCCGTACAAAAAGCAGCAAAGTCTCAGCAAAGTGCTGCGAACTTCTGTCGTTACTCACCGTCCGTATTAGCAGGGTTGAGGGGCAACTCAGCGGCAGTAATGGCAGGGTTAAGGGACAGCTGGATCGTGGTCAAAATGTTGCTGTCATACCGCACTGAGGGGTTGCAGCTGCTAGGCTCCTTGTGCTCTTCTATTTCTGCATCTTCTTACCCTCTTGCTTTCCAGAGCTGTTGGCTCCCTGCCTTAAAAGTGTTGGTACAGCTGAGTCCAATCAAGCGACACCCCGTAGCCGTCAGTGACACAAGGACTTGCGGTCCTTCTTGTCGTCCTTCCTGTCTACCTTCGAGACATCACGGCGACTCGCAGCAGGATCCCTCCGAAGAAACACAAAAGCGATGGTTGATTGCAGGCCTTTGTCTGGGCGGCACCACCTGCAACTGAAAGGCACGGAGTGAGGCGTCCAGAATTCTTCTTCAACTCTGCGGTGTCTCCTAAAGTCACCCCACGCGGCCTTCTCCCAGGAATGCAGCTTCATCCTGACAAGGCGAACTTTCGAACTTCGGCAAGGCCCGAGGCGCAAGGCGCAAGGCGAGGGCCTGGTCTTGAGTGGCGGAGGTCATGGTCTCCCACTGGGCGCACGAGGGGGTGACACAGTGTTTCACTGTTTCCGGCGTGACAGGCGCATCTCTCTTATCTCGGCGGCCTGGGGAGGTCGGTCATTCTCATCAAAGTCTGACAAAGAACCTGACCCGGGCCCAGGCATGGCGGAGTTCCGGGCAAGTCTCGAAGTGCTGTTTGCCACGGAGCTCCGAATACCCTCCTGGAACCGGCCTTTCATGATCAGAGCGCCCCCTGCAGGATTGTCCTCGCCATGGATGAGTTCAGTGCATATAGGGCCCGATGAGCTTCGAGCCAGCGATCTGCAGACCTTGTCCCTGCCGATACCGCCATCTCCAACCCCCAGGAACCAGTCACCAACTGGAAAAGTGACCTTGGCGACAGCGACATGGAAGGCGCTTCCAACCGAGGCAATCGAGGCGTTCGCCGTTCGCTTTATCCGTCCTGCAGACTTCACCTTCCGAGCACAGAGACTATGAACGTCCCCCATGTACCTTTGCCCATGTGTACGAGCATTCCTCGCCTCGTTAAGCCAGCGCTCGTTCCTGCTGTCGCCAAACACACCTGGACACGGTTCCAAGTATCGAAACACACATGAAGCACACATTTTAAGAACATCGAACCTGGTGCGCTTTGCCCAGTTCCAGGAGGAGTGTTTGAGGAATTCGGCACGGCCTTGTCCGGCGAACATGCACATCGCAAAATCTCGACAACTCGACGAAGCCCACGCCGAGGGCCAGCTGCCGTCGGTGTGGGGGTGTTCTTGTGGGATGGACTTGCAAAGCTCACAGCCTGACCGCGACAGGCACGCACGCTCCAATGCTCAAAGACGGCACCCGTTTACCGTGGCCTTGGATCCCGACGATCGGCTCGGCGGCAAAGCGAATTGAGCCTGTGCTTCCTGTGAGGGTAGCTGCAGACTCAACAAGCCCAACAACATGGACCATGTACCAGAAGCATAAAGCTTCCAAAGAAATCAAGAGAAAATACCGGATCGACAACCTCTCACTTGCATCTGATCTATGCCTCGAGGTGCAAGCGATTCACGCCAGCGCCCATATTTCCAAAGCAATGGCTCCGTAGAAGCAACACGACACATGCAAGCGAGTGTCGGCTTAGAGCACCAATTCCATAGCAGCCGCTTTCATCACATCATGTACATCTGCACATTCACGAGCATGGCAGTATGGAACATTCGTTACTTGACTGCCAGATCTGTCGCTATCTGCCTTGAGTTGCAGATGCTGCGATTGCCCGCATTGCTAACCCTCCACCACCTCTAACCCCGTCTAAGCACTGGTCTCAACATGTTCCAAAGATAGTTTTTTTGGGTGGCCCTATGCAAAGCTCACACATCTCAGCGTACTCACTGTGAGTAGGAAAAGAAGGCGCATGACCTGAGGAGCTTCTTGCACGTTGGCAGCCCCACTAACTTACTCCAGACTGGACGGTTTACAGCCAGCCTGCGAGTTGCACGAAGGCGTATGGAAAAACGTGAGTGTGATTCGCTGGGGCTGGGGGTATGGGAGAGCCAATGCCACGCTAGTTCAGCGCATTGCTCAGCTTCGTGATGTCTACGATCACCAGGCCTGATCCCTGCCTTTACAGTTCCTCCCCTATAAACAAAAGCCTTCGTGAAAACGCAGTTCCGTTCCAGGTTGCTCGGAGTTGCCCTCAAAACGTGACCAAACAACTTTAACTGTGCCCTGTGGATGCGGTGCGTGAGGGGGGGCTGGTCGGCCAGTGCGCGGACGCTCCCGTTCCGGATGGTCTGTGCGTGAGGGGTTGTCGGTGAGCACTTTGAGTCAAAGATAGTCCAAAGTCTAAAGCCTTGCCACATGCGCTCCATGTTCCGAGCACGAACTTCTTCTCTTCTAGCCGGCGAACATGCCGTGCGGTTTGTTCCCGAAATCTACCTTCACTTCCACCATTCGGAAGCTTTCCAACTCCAAGCTGAACAGAACAATAGGGCAACCTCCAAACGACAAAGAAAGCCTCGTGCCCACAACAGCAAAGGATGGCAAACCGCCAAATACAAGCACAACCATTGGCCTTCACCTTTGATGCGGCATTGCTCTTTCGATCATGCCACAGGTGAGACTGCAATCTGCTTTGGTGTCAGAACCTAGTTTAGAGCAGAGTTTATCAAAATGAAGACGATGCTAACCAACTTGGGAATACATCAGCTGGCGCTCCGGAGCCAATTGTCATGTCATGTCGTAGGTCGCAGCTCTGAGACAGGCTTGCTCAGGTCAGCTTCTTCTCCTTTGGCTTGAAGGCCTCGATGCAGTTTTGAAAGGTATTTATTCATCAAGCCCTGAGGACCTCTTCAAGGGAACCTTGGCAGCTTCCTGGGCAGCGACTGCCCAGCCTTCTGAGGCATCTGCATACCTCGGCAGGAGCTCAGTCTCCAAGGCCAAGGTCATCTCGAAAGCCCGGTAAGCCGCATGCTTCTTTGCCCGCAACAACGACTTCTCGAGCTCCGGTGCCACATCGGCAGCCTCCGCTCCAGCCAGGAATCAACGTCATCGCCCCCGGACCGGACCGCGGAGTGTCTCACCGTCAGGGGCGCTGGTGCCGGTGCCGGTGCCGCGGCTGGAGCCGGTGCCGGCCCCACGACCTTAGATTCTTTGGAAACGCTCAGACAGCAACGAACACGGAGTCGAAGTTGCCGCAGCAATCCCGACAGTTCACGCTCGTTCAGCCATCTTTTGCACACTCCGCGGTCTATGCATCAGTACCAACTGATCCAACTGTGTCTTCTGGTGGCCGCGGGGGCGCCACCTGCCATCTAGAGCTGAACACGGCTGGAAAGGATATGAAACTTGACCACGGCGGCAGAGAGCGCCTTTTTCGCAACACACTCACAGCGATGCGCATTTGCGCCGAATGCAGAGGAGGTCGAAGTCTTACCCTTCTGACAAAGCAGATACACAGGAGCAGCGTGAGCTTCTAGCACCACGCTGCAGGATGCTCGGCTGTTCTTACGGAAACAAAGGTGCAAGTGATGAAGGGAGCTAACTGCTTGGCTACAGCCTGCACCAAGCCGGACATCCCTGACTTGCAGAGCGACGATGTCAAAGGTGCTAGAAGCGATTTTCTGGCACTTCAACGACACGCCCGAATTAGAAAGACTTCTACCGTGGAACAGGCGAGCTTTGTCTTCGCCACAAACACAGCCATGGGGCCATGCGGGTTCAGCAAGGCTCAGTCGTGGTCTGAGTCGCCGTAGTCAGCCGCCATGGCTGCTCTGTCGCGTTCACTTTGCTGCCGCCTCTTCTCCACCTGATAATCCACACGCTTCTTCTGCTTGACGCTTCGGGTGTGCTTGGCATCGTGCGTCCAGCCCCTTACAAAAACCTCCTTCTGGGCATAGTAGAGATCCGTTGCATCCCCCGTGGTGTTCATCCTCTGAAGTTGCGGCGCGGCCACGGCGGCTACTGGCTTGGCCACAACTGGCTTGGGTTCCAACGTCTGTTTGCGGCGAGTCGTCACCGTCGTCCAGGATGGAGATCCAGGTGCCGTTGGGGAAGTTGAAGATAGCGTGGGTCCCATGGCGTACCCGAGTGTTAGTGGCGGTGGCACCGGCCGCGGCTGGGCTGCCACAAATTGTGGAGAGCCGCAGCCGCCGCAGGCAGAGCGGCCGGATGTTTGCCTGGCCAATGGACCCTCCGGCTGTGCACTCGAAAGGTCTGGACGGGCAACATGGGACACTTGTAGCGGTATCAGGTCGAAAACGCTTCCGCCTGGGTGAATGGCTCCTGTGCTTGGATTGGCCAGGTTGCTGCAGTGCGGAAGGCTCTGAATGCTGGGCGATGCAGGTGGCAATTCGGCAACATGAACCGGACTGAGGGCAAATCCCTGCAGTGGCGAAGCCAGCGGGGAGCTGGCATAGGAAAGGCACGGGGACGCTTGTGGAGACTCCAGCACCCCGTAGGGATTGCCGAATCGTCTGGTAGGTACCATGAAGCCTAAGGCACTTGGCGCCCGGGCTCGGTCCGATTATGGTCTAGTTGTCATCAGACTGCACTTAACGACTTCATTTCCATCCGGCAAGGCTGTCTCTCTTCGTGAGCGATAATGTATCCGAAGGTGACAGACTGTGCGAATAACGGCGAGAGCTAGATTGTCACTCACTCGGGCCGATCATCTGAGAAAGGACTACATGTTCATGCATCGCAGCTGACAGGGAAACACGGCCATCTCCAGCAGCTCGCAGCCTTGCTTTTGCGCTTCTTGTTGATGAGCTTCTGCTTTGCCTTCACGACCAACCTTCGGAGATACGGCTTGCCCGCAGGGTCTACCCTATGCCTTAGACGGGTGCGAGCCTGCCCTTGTAGTCAGCGGCTTTGGCTGATATTGTGGCTGCTGACTTGGCCAGCAATTCCTTGTCCTGCATGATGCATGCAGCGATGGTCATTGGCAAAAGCCTTTCATCATGCAGTTCGGCCCCTAGCAGCCCCGGTACTTGCCTTAGTGCCGTGGATGCGGGCAAGCTCCTCCGCTTCAGAGGCCTGGCAGAAAGAGGTTGGGACAACCAGCAAAGGCAACTGCCTCCAGCAAAGACAACTGGGCGGGCCGGCCAGCTGCTTTAAATGCCGCCTCAGCCACCAGGATTTCCAGCTTCCTTTGATCTCAAACGAAGCGCAGAGCCTCGCTGCCCGGACGTTTTTGGGGTCAAAAGTCCTGCCATCCTCCAAAGCGCTGGACAGCCGCTGACATGGTGCCAGGAGCCCTGCATAGCCCTGCTGCCTGGATGACAACTCGCACATGCTTCCCGCCTGGCGAAAGTCCCCAGTGTTGCAGACAGAAGAGCTGTGCATCCCGACAGCCCCAGCCTGCTGGCTGAACTCGTGTGCCGGGAATGGCTTCGTATTTCCCCTGTACAGAAAAGCGGTCCGCTCCAGCCGCGCGTTTCGCGCCCCTTCGCGCGCGATCGGGCGCCAAGGGAGCCTTCGTCAGAGCAGTGGAGCGGGCCTTCAAAAGGCCTTGGCTCTGCTCTCCGCTGCTCTCCGCTGCTCTCCACGGCGCAAGGCCTTTTGAGGGAGGGACGCTTGCTTCGCTGTGAGGGCCGGTCATCGATGATGTAGTCTCTCTTGGCTTTCGGCCTGAGACGGCGGGGAAGCAACTTGAATCCCGAGTTCCCGACGACAATCGTCTGCCGCGCGCAGACAGAGGCCCTCACAGCATTCGAACCTTGCCAGCATGAGGTGAGAATTCGGTGACCGGTATCAGGTCAGACGACCGGTGCAGCAGGTGCAGCCAGGTTGCAGTTGGGGCCTTCTGCGCTTCCCGCTTTGCGGTGGAGCGCGGCTTCTTGGATCCAAAGCCGACCTGCAGAGCGTAGCTCGGAGCTCGGAGCTCGAGTTTTTCACGTGGACTGAGGTCCCCGGCCTTCCGCGCCATGGCTCACCGAGAGATCGCGCCGCGGGGCGAGGGCGGGAACGCTGCGCATCTAACTGGATCCCTTTCGCCGTAAACCCTAAAACGATTTCGATGCACTAGAAACACTCCTTTTTTGTCTTTGCGGCACAATGAGCCACATGAACTGCAGGCTGGATGCTCAACACAACGACGTGGGCAAATCCGATCCTGAGCCTGCTGCAAGGGGGCTGGACCTGGTTTCTGACGTGACTGCACCGGCGACCTCAACCATCTCCAGACAATCGCAAGAAGGGCTAGCGACCAGCTTTCAGGCCAGCCGAGGCTGCCACAGCCACGGCCAAGAACAGCTGCCAACAGAGGAGCTTCATTGGAGGAGCAGAACCATTCTCAAGCCAAACACTGCTGCACATTCGAGACATGCCTGCGAAAGCACGTGCAGAGCTTTCATAAACAGCAGCACTTAAGCAACGTGGCTGACTTTTTGTTGAGCGCAAGCGGCAACTGTCAGACTGAGTCGCTGCGCTTGGTCACTCAAACTCCTTGACCGAAAAGCGCCGAGAGTCCCATGTGAAGACTTCGGAGCACCATGCCAAGGCCCAAACGAGGTTGAGAGCGGCGGCATCTCTGTCTGCTGCGTGCCCAATGTACCTTGGCGAACGACATATTATGTGCTGTGAAGGACTTTGTTCAAGCTAACCGGCCTGAGTGCGAGGACACAAATTTCATACGTGTAGAGATGGAACGGCTAAGCTCTGTGCACATGATCTCTGCAGCGCTGTTCTCCAACGTAGAAGCCTGCCGCATGTGCTGCACTAGACATTTTGCATGCAGTACTGCGCTCTGCATCGCATCACCAAGAAGCTACCAAAGATGACTGGAGGCCATGGGATCATCTACCAACAGGACAAGACCACTTACTGTCCTCCCCTCCCTATGTCCTCTAACAAGCCACGGTTCGCAGGCCCAAAGCATGCTCGGAGTTACATGCTTGACTCAATCGGCATGCCGGTGCGTAATGAAGGCTTGTCGGAAGATTGCCTGAAATCAACGCAGTTGATCGCGACTTCTGCGGACAGGGGGCCGGCGGGCCTGTGCAAGACCTCTGCGAGGGAGGCAGCATGTTGGTCCAGGCCTGCGCAAAGAAATAAGGGCAGTGGCTGGCATCCTCCGGACCTACTGCATGTACGCTGCATCGGCACATGCTAAGCTCAAAGCGCACAGTAGCTTACAAGCATCAGCCGGACAGGAGCTGTCGCGGACAACCTGCATGTTGCATTTTCCGGCGCTTCTCCTCGTGATTGCAAGCGCCGCGCAAGATCGCAGCCTTGTAGGGACAAGCCTTCTGCTCGCTTGGGTAGGCCGCCAGCCAACCACCGAAGCGAAGATGGTTCACGGGCTGCGCAGCCGAGCGCACTTCGGTGATGGCTTCACACCACGTTTCAGCCTAGCTCCCCACCTTGAAGGAAAGCCAACACTCATGGAAGTCAGATGTGGGAGCAAGTATCCGGAGTGTGTACCTCAACAACTCTTGGCGTGTCTGCATCTGCTCATATCTGCTCGCTCCTGGACTCGGGTAGGGCACGTGTCAGGAACCAGCCTATCTTTCCAGTACACCTGCCAACTGGAAAGATTCTTGCTGTGGGCATTCCTATGCGAAGCGCAGTCGATGAGTTGGCCACCAAGGTGCATTATGGAACTCGACTGAGCACGAGTGCTTCTCGTCGCCGGTGACGGTCCAGCCCTGCTGGCTCTCAGAGACACCGGCTGGTCAGCAAGTCAGCTAGTCCAGACGCAGCCCCAAAAGAAAAAGAGGGCGACATCTTCGGGAAGCTCCATGAGGTTCCGGCGTCGTGGGTCAAGCAAAGGTATCTGTTCGAGCCCTGCCACCTGCCGAGGGGGAGGGGTCGCCAACACGCCTGGGGCGTTTTGCAAACACCCTCAGATCTCATGACATCCCTCGCCGCGCCTCAGCTTCGCCCGCATTCCTGCCAGCTGACCGATCCTCGGAAGTCCCCCACGAAATCCAGAAAGGCAACCGCCAAGCCCATCGCTTAAGGATCTTACGGTACTGTGCCCTTGACCCGGCCCTGGCCTGGCCTCTTGCCCGCGATGGAGGCCACGGTCGTCTCGGCCGGATCGTGCAGGCTGCCGTTGGATCGGGCAATCTGACAGCTGCAAAGGCTCTCCAGTCTCTCACACGAGCCAGCATCTGCGAACTGTGAAAACTCACATTGGTCTGGCTTTGGCCCGAAGCTGCTCTTCGGGACAGGTTCAGTGACGAGGAAGAAACTGGAGCCAGCCGTAGCTCTTTCCGACTTTCGAGACGGCAAGCCCACGTCCCGTGTCACTTCCCGAGTCATTCTTCTCTCAGGTGCTGGAAGGTCACATGGTCCGAGGAGGAGATGCAACAGCAGGTGCCGTAAGTTACTTGTAGCTATGCAACTGCTCATGAGGCTTTGCCGTTGCCCGTGTCTCTGGTACATTTTGTGCCCTTCCTTTCGAGACGTTCGGCTTGATGCAAAGGCAACCCTCTGTGTTGTAAACAGCCGGCTGCTGGACTTGCATCGTGCGGATGTCACATGAACTCACATGACATGGCTGCTACAAGCGGCCCCTGAAGAGACCAACATCTGCAAAGTTCGTGCAACGCACCTCCGGGTAGAAAATTTCAAAGGCCCACCGAAACATGCCCATGCCCATCCTGGCTCTGGAATCTCTGCTTCAGGCAAAGCTGAGCATAATAGTCAAACAAAAACCATGCCGTGGAGGCCCGTTGTAGAGCTGATCGGGCATGACGATGAAACTGGCCAGAAACGAGCAGCTCATGGTACAGGCTAACATTGTGGAGACCGAAACCCGGGCAACAGCGGAGCAATTGATGGCGGTGGCACCAAACGGCACCCATCAGAACATAGACAAGCACCAGCTTGGACAACCTCGGCCCGCAGTTGATGTGTATATGCATGCATGCATGGACGGATGGACGGATGGACGGATGGACGGATGGAGGGATGGAGGGATGGAGGGATCGAGGGATGGAGGGATGGAGGGATGGATGGAGGGAGGGAGGGAGGGATGGAGGGATGGAGGGATGGAGGGATGGAGGGATGGAGGGATGGAGGGATGGAGGGATGGAGGGATGGAGGGATGGAGGGATGGAGGGATGGAGGCATGGAGGCATGGAGGCATGGATGGATGGATGGATGGATGGATGGATGGATGGATGGATGGATGGATGGATGGATGGATGTGTATATATATATATATATATATATCTACATGTGTATAACTCACATATATATATATATATATATATATATATACATATATATATATATATACAGGCTTGCAAGCCCCGGGCCAGCTGACAAAGTCCACGCTGTGAATGAAGAAACCTCGCAAGCAGCGGCAGATCTGGCAGTGCCTTGCAGACCTTGATCCAGCAACCGTCTAAGGACGGCCATCCTCTTGGATCCTCCACCGGCACACTGTGATGGGGGCCCTGCACTGGACCAGAGCTGGTGCTGCCACAAGCGCCAGCCTTCCAATCGTAGAACTATGAAAGCACTGAGGGCTTCGGAGTTCTCAGTGCCTCATCAGGTTGAGAGATCTCGCAAGCACCTGGCCGAAGCTGTCCGATGCACCGCCGGCTCTGTGTGCATCCCCACGCCTCGTGGAGCGTTGTCAGCAGCTTGGTAGCTGGGATGCCCTGACATCTGGCAGGCAGAAGGGGCAGAACAAGAAAAACGAACTGGCCGTCGCCTGCGCTGAGCCTAGGTTGACGCCCACCCTGCACTTCGCGACAGGAGATGCCAGCGTCACGAGCTTAAAGCCCTAAGCCCTGGGGTTGGGACCTGACCATGGCCTCGGCTGTTCGGAGTTCAATGGTTTGCGCGGCGCCCTCACGCTTGTCCACTGGGCCCCAAGCTGGATCCGACCAGTGCTCCATTCTGACTGTGCGGCTGCGGCCCAGGAAGTCGAGATCGCGTATCTAAATCCCAAGTCCTACTCAGTTTACGGGCTGCTGTTGGCACCGTTGGGGGCAAGCTCGGTTTGAGGTCAATCGGGCAGACCATGAATGCTGCGGCCCAAAAATGCTGCGTGGTAGCCTGGCAGACTGCACAAGAGCTGGCAGGAGATCAACAGATCTCAAATGCTAAATGATCCGGTCCCAAAGGTTTTCTGCAGGTCGTTCCGGGGCGTGCCCTGCTGGTTCTCCTCCTCCTCCTCCTCCTCCTCCTCCTCCTTCTTATTCTTCTGTTCCAGCTTCTGCTCCAGCTGCTCCAGTCGCTCGCTCTCGACCTGCAGCCATTGCGCCCTCCACGAGGTGGAGCCCTCGGCGGTGGACGTCGCGTTCCAAGCGGCTTTGGCCAAGGACTTTGCAGCCGAAAGCCGACGCGCCGCCTCGGCTCTCCGGAAGGCCCCGAAGAACAAAAGCGCCCGGGCTGCGGGATGTCCATGCAACTCCTCATCCAACAAGGACACCGCCTCTCGAAGACCGGTACTCATATCGATGCTCTCCACGACCCCTTCAAAGGACTCTTTCTCGCGCAGATGGCCACTTTGACGTTGAAGACTGGACTCTAACTCTTGCCGACCCTCCTCCTCAACTTCGAAGAACAAAGGGATGCGTTTGCGCAGATGCAAGCGAATTTCATCAGCCCGACCCGTTCCATGGTCCCTATGCTCCTCTTGGGAGAGGGCCGCACACAGCTGCGACAAGCGCTCTCTGCGCCAGTCGCTGTCCCGCATTCGCCTGGCACCTGCAGTGCATGCACGACATGCACAATCGAAACCGAATCGATCACTTATTTCGCCGAGACGTTCACGGGTGGGTGCACAGAGCGCCAGCAGGGACAGGTACGAAATGCAAAGCTCCTCATTTGCGGCGATGCTGCAAGAAGCCCGCAGGACCTTCATTCCGCGATCCTCTTGCCAGCTGTGATGGACGTTCGGCTCGCAGCTATGATTGAACCTCGATAGGAAGAGAAACAGTCCAGCAGAATCTGCGTCAAGGCCCA